GACACCAAGTACCCAGATACAGACCTAACTCCCATAGGTCATATTTAACCCTGCTGTAGTTCACAGACATACACAGGATATCTTCTGTCCCTTTACAGTCCGTGCCTACCTAGAAACACTCACAGCACTCAATGCTTGCACATTTACTAGACTGATTAATACAAGTTCTGTACACAAAATCAAAAAATCCCACTCTTCTGTTATTTTCTTCAATATCGTATAAAGTAAAACACATGCCTCCAAAATTAATGTATAATCAGTTACAGGGTAAGACTGATAATAACAGAACACTGTATCTACCTCAGGTACACAGTTACTGTGGCATTTTACAGGACACAAATTCTCAAATAAATACAGATCTCTGTTACTATGCACGCTACCTGCAAGAAAATCTTTAATTTTTCAACTATGCCATCAACTTTTTAAAATTCAACATAAATTGTAAATACTGTTCCAATTCTGATAACCCTTCTTTTAGCTAAGACGGTTGCTTGGTAGTGATTTGTCAGATAAATTACACAATACTGTTTCTGTTTCCTGATTAGATAAGCAGATAAGTTTTTTTTCTGGCACAAACGTTTATGCATAAAATTTCTCATTTTCTGCGAACACTTGCAACTTTGTAATCCCCTCTCCACAAGTCTGCACACCAGTAAGAGTCAACCATGGACAGACTGCGTTTGCTGAAGGAAAACTTGAGAGTAAGTATCAGCATGCAAAAAGCAATTCTGTCTACAAAACTGAAAAAACGTTCAGGAAATTTCTCTCCCTCTGCGCTGCCTACATATACACTGCAGAATAAAGGAAAGCAGTGAGCAGTACTTTTACCCTTACGGTGGGGCACAGGGGGCACATGGCCTCGGTGCATCTCTTGCATTACAGAAATGAACAGCACAGTGACTGTGACCCCCTTGCCCAGGGATGCGCAAAGAAATATCAACCCCTTGGGCAGGCGGAGACTTGGCAGTGAGTGTTTCTACCCACCACCTCCTGGGAATGCTGCCTCCCAGGTCCCCACCCGGGCCAAAAGGAGGAGGAAGAGCAGCCCACCAGTCTAAACACATACAGCACACAACCAGAAAGGAGGCAGTGAAGCAGGGATGAAGCACGGATGGCACTTTTTGCCACCTGACCCCATATTTTTCTACAAAACCAAAGTGAAACACCTTGTGGTGGTCTGGAGGAGACCACTTGTCTTCTCATCCCTTTCCCCCACCACGCTCTGCACACAGTTTCACTAGTCTAAAAACATTCCTTTGCTTAACCGCTTACAAAGGGATGACCGCATAAATCTGGTCATATCAACTAAAGATGACAAAATGCAGACAAACATGACAAGAAGTAAATGCAGAGAGATCAGATTTTACACTATCTTTATCAAACAGGACGGTAATTTTTGATACTTAAAATCTTGTCTCTGTCGTCCTCGGTTACTTGATACAAGTAACATTTGATTTTTCTAAGACATCACTTACAATCTCTTGGCACCATAGATGCCATAAAAAGGTTTACTCAGATAGATAGGATTGTAAAGAAAAAGGAGTTGGGTTTGGTATTCAGACCTATCATGACCACAACCCTTGCCTATGAACAAAGCAGTCAAAAAAATTCAACATGTCACAAGACAGATGTGTGCAAGATCAGAGTAAAAGCTCAAGCATTTCTTCAAACACATGAGCAATGTCTCCTGCAGACCAATCTAACTCATCACGTTTCCCCACCTTTATGAATAAGGCCCAAGAAGATTTACAGTGGATGTTCAGACATACAGACGGGTGTGGAAGAAACACCTGTATTAACAGACTGCTTAAGTGAATATAGAAATATTTCAACACACACTAATTTATTCAAACTTCATGAAAGTTATTTTTAAGCGATCTAACAGAAGTTACTACTTGGAAGCAATAAAATTTCTAAAGCTTTTCATTTTCTAAATATAAGTCAGGTTTGGTTTTTTAAACATTTATATTACACCATAAGTACTATAAAAACCAGTAAGTGCTTCACACCTGTCACCATCATAATGTCAGCAACAGCATTATACTTTGTTTGGAAAAAAATTTTCTGGAGAGTGAGTTTACACAGAGTTCCTTTGCTGGAGTCTCTAACCCCCCAAAAAACCCAAACAAGACTAGAACTGATAATCTAAACTGAATCGTTCTAGGAAACAATTTGCATATTATGTATGACTAGGGAGTAGGGACCTGCTTCAATCTTTATGTCTCGAGTAAGCTTATAATAAGAATTTGTGTTCAAGGACTTCCGAGCACAAAACATTTTATCGCAACAAATTAAGCTCCTTATGAAGGCCAAGTTGAAGTAGCAAGACTTTTATTCGATTATTTTTGAATCAACATTACTGACAGATGTACAAACTGCACCTTGAACCTTTTACCTATAAATATACTACAGGAAAATCCCAGTTCTGCCGCTAACTTATTTTTGGGCTGGCAAAATAAAGAGGTTCAGGCACTTAGGAATCAAGACAGGAACACAATCAAGCTTCGCATCTCTAGAATGGTCTTCCAAAAGGGAAGTTTTATGGTATTTTAAATGATTTTAATGTGTACTCCATGTAATTTTATAGTTTATCACACAAATCTACATTACTGATTAATTCATTCTTTTTTCAAGAGGTTGTTTAGAAAATATAAGATTCCTTTGAGCTGCCAAGATGCTCAAAATTGAATGCACGTGTAATGACAACTATAATATATTGAGAAACTTAACATCACTTCAGAATATATATTATGACATTACAGGTAATAGCAGGATTTCTCTCAGCATGAGTAAGTCACAATGAAGTTTCACTATGATGGGATCGTTCATTATGAACTGACTTTACAATAAGTATTTCTCATCACAGAGAGGTTGTATACATAAACTACTTTCTTAACACAACAGAAACAAACAGAGAGCTACATGAAAGAGCGTCCCAAAGCATTTCACTAGTTGCACTAGGTGTTCCCCAGCACGATGTTAACAACACATATCACAAACAAAAGGTGTAAATTTGACTTGTTTATGCTCACCACTAAAGTTTCTCTTCTCGCAACTGACAGAACTGTGTCAGGCACGGCATATTGGCAAACACCAGTGGCCTGGAATCTGCCTGTTCACACTGATGGTACCAGAAAACTTTATGGCCCAACTGACTCGTTATATTTGTTTTCACATAATATGCATGGCTTTGTCTAATGTAAGATAATATTTGACACTGGACGCTCAGTTGTCTGCAAGTCACACTCAGCAGAGAGAATGAAAAAATAACATGTGACTTGAGCTAAAGTGAATGAACTCAGAAATTGTAACAGACTCTTTCTCTCCACAAGTGAAAACGTCTTCGCTAGTCGCTAATGATAATATAATGTGTAAAGTTGATGCCCAGGTTTATATGCTCATCTTCACACAGAAGCAAGTGAAATGTTGCATGAAGGGACAGGGTCTACAAAAAAAATCCAATATGGCCACTGATGTGTAGTTGTCTTTTGACTCAAAATTGCCTTATCTTTTACCACGTCTGCCAGTTGCACGCATACACCTGTTATAACCATACTTCAAAAGAAGTTGACACAGTGACAGTCATCTGCATGTATCCAATCCTGAAACATTCTTCACGGCAGAGAGATCCATATGCTTTGAGACAACCCTGTCAAGGCCAAACCACAGTAATCCACAAGCACCAAGAAACAACACAGGTAGAGAGGTGCGCCAGCACTATCCACTTACCTTCTTTATTAAGCCTCATAACCTCCCTGCTTTTTCCACCCTCCTTTCCAGTCTCTTCTAGATCTACACCTGCAGAAGAGAAGCAGAGTCAGGAAGCGCCGAGGGCCCTGAGGTGTGCATTTATTGTTTGGCGAGGGGAGGAGGAGGAGAGGTGAGGAGGTGAGCAGTGTTTCTATTTGCAACAGCAAAAGCACAATGGTCGGAGCATCTGCCAGGGAGCGGAACCGCCGGGCCCCCCGCGGCAGCACCCTCCGCCCCCCCCCCTCCCGCGACATCCTCCAGCCCCTCCGCGCATCCTCCCCCTCGCCCCCTTCCCCCACCGCGGCGCCGGCCCAGCGCCGCGGGGCAGCGGCACGGCAGGCGCGGCGTGCGCCTCCCGCACACATGGCACGGGGGCTCGGCCGGGCGTCAGCTGAGCGCCCGGGGGGGCGGCACCTCCCGGCCCCGGCGGGAGGAGGGAGGGGAAGGGAGAGAGGGGAGGGGGGGCGGCCCGGTCGGACCCCGGCCCCGCTCCGGGGGGAGCGGCGTGCGGAGCCGGACCGCGGCCGGTCCCTGCCCTTACTGTGCGGGGGGGCGGCGCCGTGCGCGTGCGGGGGGGCGGCCTCCCGCACCCAGGCGGCCCAGGGCTGGCCCAGGAACGCCTCGGGACTGGGCACGGGCCGCTCCAGGGCCGCCATGGCGCCGCGCCTGCTCCTGCCTCCTTGTTGCTTTTCCCGTTTCCTTCGGCGGCGG